ACACTCTAGCGGTGACGACTGTTTCATTAGCAGTGTCTTTTTTATGTAGGAAGTGTTGTGAGTGGGAGTTGTTTTTCTGTATTTGTTTATTCACTTTTGCTTTCACGGTTTGTCTGTAGGGGTTGGTGACATGAACTTCATCACGGACAATGCCTTTGTTGTGGACGATGATGAAGAAGAGGCAGTAGCACTTGGATCTTCACCTTGTAGTCTCCACTGCGAGGAGGAGGAGGAGGGAACCGAAGAAGAGGCGGAGGAGGAGGAAGAAACCGAAGAAGAGGCGGAGGAGGAGGAAGAAACCGAAGAAGAGGCGGAGGAGGGAGAAGCTGAAGAAAATGACGAACGGTACGAAGACGTAGAACACGGCAAGGAGGCAGTGGAGGAATTGGAGGTCACATGCAACTCCGGCAATGATGAAAATACACCTGCGCCAGCGGCAAAGCCGTATATACAAAAAGGGCCAAGCGCTACAAACGTATTCACCTCGGTGTTTGCCTGCCCGCAGGCAACCAGTGCGACAGGGACCTCTCTTCAGCACTGTCACGTGTTGGCCTCATCGTCATCAGTAGTAATGCCACCGGCAGAAGGGACAACAGGCGACGGGAAGTCGGGGTTGGTTATTCCGCCTACTGGGCGTGTCCAGGCGAAGCAGATGCGAGTGCTAACCCGGTTTCTTGATTTTCAAGCAAAGACGTCGGCTGGGCGCGAGAAGCGTCAGCGAGGCCTTTTGTGCAATGAAGAAACAGCCGAAGCGATGGCGGTCTTGGCGAGGTTTGAGCTTTCCCTTCCAACAACTCGGTTTGATGAACAGTTGGAGGGTATTTTGTCAAAGTCGTGGTGACACTCCATGGGGCACTAAGTGTGGAACTCCCCACGAATGGGAGACATGAAAGTGGGAGGAAAAACGGAAAAAGAAATGAAGCTGAGTATCTCATTTTGGAATTGTCTGAATGCTTGCAAAAATACTCCTTTTTTTTTGTTCTTGTTGTTGCTTTTTTTAAAATTCCCCATGCATTTTTTTTTTTTGCCTTTTTTCCTTTTTTTCTTTTGTTTTTATTTGTTTGTGACTTTTGTCTTTCTTCCACAGCGTGATTCCGTGTGTGTGTGAAATGTTGGGCCGAGAGTTTTTGTATGAAATTCGCTTTATGGACACTGCAAACGCGGTGGAGGATGTACACAAGCGGCTTTTAAAAGCTGTCAAGGATGAATTTGGGCGTGAAGCGCCTTCTACACACAGTTTGTGTCAGTGCTCGGTGTTGTGTGGCGCGTTCTGTCGTCGCTTGGCTATGTTAGATGCTTCTGTGATTAGAGATGCGGCTAAATACGTGGAGCTGCTTCGCTCGGAGCTGAGCAGTCTTGTTTCTCCTGTCCAAGAGGCGTCGTTTTTTGCCTATGCGATGGGTGAGATAGAGGCCTTCTGCACGATGCGACGGGTTATGTATCGTCAGCGCCTCGATGCGCTTACAAAGTCTGTCCCTGCATCTCGGTGGGATGTGGAAAAAATTACAAACGTGATGAAGGATTTATCAGCTTCCAGCTGGCGTCCTCAGAGTATTCGCAGTTGCCATGAAGTAGTTAAACGACCTCGAGAGATCGGTGATGCCGGTAGTGATGGCGTGCCAATGGCGGTGCGTTGGCGGCTCCCCTTGCGAGACCCCATTTCGTTGGTAGTCATAACGATTCCTGCCAGGGGTTCGTTGTGTCGGCACAAGGAGGTTTTTGACATGGCGACGTTTGTGCGCGCCACTCAGCGGGCAGCACTACGTCAGAGAGAATGCGTTGAGGAAACTGCAAACCCGAGGTGGGGTTCTGGTAGCGACGAGGCGTTACCGGCGGTGGCGTGTCCAATCTGCGGAAGGGCCGCACCGTTGCACGGGGTGCGTGTTGATGAACTTATTATGGGGGCCATGCACCAACATGCTGCGAAGGGAGGCACTCTTTCTCCAGACGATTGTGTGGTCTGGGACGACTCAAGGTCTGCCTATGAAGTTGTAAAGGCTCCTGCTGCCACGCCTGTAGCTGACGAGATGTTGGAGGAGATGCCGGAGAGAGAGCCTGACCATCCGCTGCGGGTAGTGCACATTGAAGGCCACGTGCTTTACGCAGAGGAATGAGAGAGTCTTGCTTATTTTTTTACTTTTTCTTTTTTTTTGTAGCTGGATTTTTCTTCCCTGCCGTCTCTCTTTTCATGTAAGCAAGTACGCTTGTGCCGCGTGCACAGCATGCATATTGAACTTAGATTCCTTCTTTGCATATCCTCTGCCATCTCTTTTTAGATATATATATATATATATATAACTAGAAGAAGAACATATTTTGTCCTTTTTTCATATCGAGCAGATATCTCTTACGGAGACATGAAGAAGAGCGTCTCCCTCAAGGAGTTTTCTACGACACCGACTGTGTCGTACATGCTGAGTAAGGATGGTCACAATATTGCGGGAGGTGTTGGAAGTGACATTTCCAACGGCCACAGCAACGCTCTGCGCCACTCTGCTTCCCAAGCGTTGAGGGAGGAGAAGGCAAGGGCCGCGTCGAATGACGGCACGTCCGACACGATGTTCGATATGGAGTAGGGACTCAAGAAGTCATTCACTCAACGCAGAACGTGCAATCACAAAAAAAAAACGGCAACAACAGAAACGCAAAGGTGAGAAGTGGACTAATAATAAACAAAGTCGAACCCAACGGTGACGGATTTTTAGCAACAGAGATACGAATAACAATAAAAGCAAAAAAAAAAGGTTGGATAAAGGATGGAATAAAGTGGAGTGAAGGATGTCTGGCCTATTGGGCCGATGCCGACCGTCGTATTTGGTGAGGTCAGAGGTAAAACACATATGCATGTGTGCGTGTGACGTGCACATTTACATGTATATCAGGAGCAAAATATGTGGTCACTGCGTATAAACAGCCTCGGCTGCCCCTCTCTTTTTTTTTTTTCTTTCTTTCTTGTTGCCATCACATCTTTACTTGCCGTATCAGAGGATGCGGGTTTCGTATTATCCGTTTATTTACTTATCTGTTGAGATTGTTTTGTTTCTTTTTTTTGCCCCAGTGGTGCAAGGGTTGGGGAGATATCGCAAGGGGGAGGGAATAGGTGCAGCAGGTGCGAGAGGCTATGCGTCGCAATCAAATGCGGAAAGGTGGCCTTAAGCGGGGGCGTCAGGAGGACACTTGGGCGGCCGACGCGCGTGATGTCTCGACCTTGGCAAACGATGCGTTTAACCGCTATTACAAGACGAATGTGGTGGGGGAGGCGGAGTGGGATGCGTTTATGGAGGCGCTTCGCCGTGCGCTGCCCATGGCTTTCCGTGTGCATCCATCTTTGTCATGCGCTGACGCCGTTCTTGAATACCTGAAGTCCCGCCTGAGTAGTGTACTGCCAGTGACGCAACTCCCTTTCGTTACTGAGGGTGCAGCACTGCAGTGTGCCGTCTCTCGTGGGGAGCTTAAGCGCAGCGTGGAATTGAAGGCATTAAAGAAGATAATTGCTGCAATGAATGAGGGTGGCTACCTGACCCGTCAAGAGGCAGTAAGTATGCTACCTCCAGTGCTACTTCAAGTGCGTCCAGGCCACCGTGTGCTGGACATGTGCGCGGCACCCGGGAGTAAAACCTCACAAATCCTTGAAGCTCTTCTTTCTTCTGCGGAGGATGGTGTTGTGGTGGCAAATGATATTAATACCTCACGGCTTGATGTCCTTTTGCATCAGACGAACCGCTCAGCCGGTGCACACGCACATTTGATTGTGACGAACCATGATGCAACACAATTTCCCCTGTTACCGTCGGAGGACAAGTTTGATCGCGTGCTGTGCGATGTGATGTGCTCTGGTGACGGCACGCTGAGGAAGTCAGTGGATATGTGGCCCCGTTGGAATACCCTTCTTGGCGCCAACCTGCACAGTACTCAGATTCGGGTCCTGCTACGTGGAATGATGCTTTGCAAGAAGGGGGGCATAGTAGTCTACTCCACCTGCAGTCTAAACCCTGTGGAGGATGAGGCTGTTGTGTCGGAGTGCCTTGTCCAGTCTAAAAACACGTTCCGATTGATTGATCCCACCCCGCTCGCGCCTGGTCTCGTGGCGGCCCCAGGCTTGAAGGATTGGTCGCTGCTCACGAGGGACCTCACAACGAGGTTGCACACGATGGAGGAGGCTCAGACGTTTTGTGCAAGAGACTCAAGGAACGGATTTTCTTACGTTGCCTCCATGTTCCCCAACAGTGCGCGTTTGCAGGAGCAAAATATACACTACACTAAACGTGTTCTACCGCACCTTCAGGATACAGGCGGTTTTTTTGTCGCGGTAATGGAGTGCCTTGAGGAGTATCCAACTCCTACTGCCGCCCCCACTTCTTCCTCTTCCTTCCATGGGAAGGGCGAGATGCTTAAGCCTCTTTCACCTCTGCTACAGGAAGAGGTGCAGGCTGCTTTGGGTCTTCCTGATTCTTTTCCGGGAGACCAACTATTTGTTCGGAATGAGACCGCGCGTGAACAGAAAATTTACTTTGCGAATAAGGCTGTGTGTGCCATCCTCCCCAAACTTGGACCTCGTGTTGTACACGTGGGATCCAAGGTATTCGAATCCTACGTGAAGTACAGTAACAATAAGCTTAGGTTTAGCGCTGAAGGTGTTGGTGTGCTAGTTCCTTTACTGCCTCCTTCCTTTATTGTGGAGATTAGCCCGGAGACGGTGCTGCAACTCAGTCAGAGTAAGCTGGCCGCGACATCACTCCCGCAGCTTCCGCCAAATCACAGTTTTGTATTTAAATCAGACATGACGGTTGCAGGTGCGGTGTACATCGCGGCGGAGAGGGTGGGGTTGGGTCAAATCGCGGCAAAGGTTGCTGACTGGCAGGTCACACTGGCCAAGCTAACACTTGGGCAACCGCTGGTGGAGGGCAACGAAGAAGCCGGCGTGGACGCGGTTCGAGTTGAAGGTGATGGCGAGCCTTGAGTGGTGGAGAGGGAGAGATAATGAGCAAGCAAGAAGGACGGTTACTGTTGATGTGCATGTGTGTACGTGTGTAACTTGTAATGCCTTCATTGCTGCTGTAGTGGTGGTCTACGCTGCAGTAGAAACATAAATTAATTAATTTATTTATGTGACTTTTGTTTTGCTTCGCGGTATGAGCAGCTACTTGCTGCTGCTCGTTTTTTTTTTTTTGCGTCGCTTGCATGTGAGATACGCTGGCTTTTCCTTCTAATTGTGGCTCTGAGTGGATAGGGGCCAAAGTTTTTGTGCGCGGAAGCTATGGTGTGATGACGAGATCAGCACGTGCTTTTCCTCTTGACGCTCTAGCGCCGCATTGCCGACGTCCGTCCTGCTAATGCACACACACACGGAGAGATAGGGAGAGAGAGAGAGAGAGAGAGAGAGATGCTTTGCGCTTTGTCCAAAGTGATCAGTGCAGGATCAAGCTGGCCACGCGCCGGTGGATGTTGGGCTTGTGAGCTGGGGATTTGTAACGGGACTGTCGCCCGGGATGCTGCAGCAGCGTTCCGTAACTTTGCGTCTGTGCAGAGGAATAGGCTTGGGGAAAAACGAGCGACGGATTCTCTCTCTCTCTTTCTCTCGCGGTGCTGATCCTGAAGGTGCACCGTTACACAGTTGGCGGTATTGCAAGATGACACTTCGATGCGGCGCGTGTCGTTAGGCATGTGGGAATCGCTTTGTCCCTACACTGGAGGGAGGGAAAAGCCGCAAAATATTGTAAATTCTCGTGCGGGGGGAGGAGGGCGACGAGGTTGGGATCCTGCAGGAGCACCGCTTGTACTTTTTCTTTACATGACGACATCAAGGCACCGCAATGGTGAGTAACATTTCCACTCTGCTGCGAGTTTCCCTTCGTCTCCTTTTCCCTTCCTAGTTATTTCTGCTGGGGTAGGCGAGGAGCTTTCTTCAGTTGCATGCTACGGAGCCATTTGAAGGCTTCTGGATCACAATGAGGGAAAGAGAGAGAGTGAGAGAGAATTAGATGGGGAGATAAGGGGGAGGGTTTTTTTTCTTTTTTACGCGTGTGCGTGTCCGCATAGCTGTGTGTGCGAGGGAGATGGAGGACTGAGTGCGATTGTGCGTCCGTCTCTCTTTTAATTTCCCTCACTTTCGTTGTGACGATGGACTCGATTTCTCTCCTACACATATGGAGTGGAAGTGATCCGCGGAGGGAGTGCGTGAAGGTAACGAAGACGAAGGAAAACTGTCCGTTTACTGCACACATACACACACACACACACACTCACTCACTCACTCACAGGTTAATATATCATGCTAGCGTATTCCCAACGGACGCAAGCGACGTTAGACGACGCGCATGACGCCTTTTCGCGGGGTGAAATTGAGCACGCCAAGTCAATCCTTGATAGCGTTGACATTTCGGAGGCACACAGCCGGGAGGAGCTGCATGACCTTTTTGCCATCCGTTGTGTGCGTGCTTCCATTGCAGCAATGGGGGGCGAACGGACGGTGGCAAGTATCATGAGCGACACCATGTCCCACTCGCTGCACCGTCCTGTAGCGCTTTACTTGGAAGGGCTTGCGGCAATGGCAAGTGGCACAAATCTTCAGACGGCACGTGTGAAGTTTGAGGAGGCGTTTCGCGCAGATGGCCACTTTGTGTTAGCGAGGCTAGGACTTGCCGCTGTGAGTTACCACATGAAACGTTACAAGAAGTCTTTTTCCCACTATCGCGCTCTTTTGGAAACACTCGGAAGCGCCTGCCCTCCGATTGTGCGGGTGGGGATGGGGCTTTGCGCGTATCACCTGAGTCATCTGGACTACGCACAGAGATGCCTGGAGCGGGCCCTAGAGGTGAATAAGGATGATGAGTTGGCCCTCCTGGCGCTCCTTGTGGTGTTTCTTGACCGCTGTCAAATTCCAAAGGTGATTGAGGTGGCGCAGCGTCTACGCCACTTGCTGCCAGGGAATGCCATGGTGCTGCTCAAGGTGGCGGACCTCGTGTACTTCCGCGCTGTGACACAGAAGCGAGTGAAGGCGGCTGCAGGCTCCATCCGCCGCCTGCTTGCAGAGGTGCGTCGGGTGGCCACCGTTGAGGAAAGTGCCACAGCGGATTATCAGGAAGGCCGATTGTGTCTTGCTCTTGATGACCTTTCTAACGCCCGTTTGTTGCTTGAGTCGGCCATGCAGGTTCTCCCGAATCTGATGGCAGCACGGATTCACTACGCTCGGGCTTTACTCCTCTCGGGAAGGGAAACCGAGGCTGAACATTTGTTGCTGCGCGTTAACAGGGATAATCCTAATCAAAAGGAGGTCTTGCAGCTGCTGGCGGCCTACGCTTCTCGTCATGGTCTACATGAGAAGGCATTGGAGTATAGTGGGCGTCTCACGGAGATTGTGGCACCTGGGGACATTCGGTCATGGTCCCTTGCCTCCTGGTGTGCCCGTTTAAATAAAGAGGATACAAAAAAGCTCATGTCGCATCTTGCTCGGATTCAACAAGAGGTGGGGGAATCCGTGTCAATGCAGTTGCTTGCGAATATAGCTTCTATAGGTGGGGACACTGACGCTTTACAGAGGATCCTAGATCGGGAACTTGGGGCGGACTTTTTAAGTCAACCCAACCTACCTGTAGTCTATGTCCCTTTGGTGTTTAACTTGGCACTCTTGTTAGAGGAAACCGATCGTACGAGGGCCCGACAACTTTACATATACCTTGTAAAGCAGCACGGTTATTTTCAGCCTCCGTATATTCGCCTTCATGTTCTTGCAAAGGCAGACGGATTCGTACGACAAGCCGTCGCTTGGCTTGTTTTGTTGCAGCAGATTGTGCCAGAGGATCCCACCTCGTTAGCGTCCATTGCCGAACTATTTTTTACACAGTCTCGTGCTACTGCAGCAATGGCGGCACTTCGCTCTGCGAGAGGTCGACCTCTTCCAGTTGCCCTCGCCTTTGGAGCGGTGTTTCTTTGGTGCAGCCAGCAGCACGGCAAAGACAATCGTCGTTTTTTAGCAAGTGCCAAGGATCGTTTTACATTTGTTTTGCGTCGTGATAATGGCAATGTGTTGGCGGCGCACGGGCTTGCCTGTTGCCTTGGTTTGGAGGCAGACTATGATCGTTGCCAGTGCCTGCTAGATCGTGTTGGAGAAGTGCGTCCAAACTGTGACTACGTGCGTCGGCACCATGAGGCGCACATGGCCAATGTAAAGACGCTGAATGACAGCTTCAAGCAGGCCATAGACTACCTTGAACGTGACCCGAAGCGAACACCGTTGCAGACATCTTCGTTGGCGTTTTGTTTGGCGTGTGAAAATCGCTATGAGGAGGCCGTTGCAGTGCTCAATGCGGTTGTGGCGGAGAATCCAAACTTGCCCCTTCTGCAGTATAATCTTTCTCTCTTGTACTGCGCTGCATTTGTCCATGCGATTGCACGCAAGGAGGCGATCACACCAGAGAAGGCACGGGATCTCCGCCAGTCTCTTGCCACGGGTCTCTCCATTGCCTTTGAGTTTGTCCGGCAAGAGCCACGCTCTCAGGCGATGGCGGTTGCCAAGACGTTTCTCAAGACTGCCTGCGCCTACTGCCTGAATTTGAATGATCACAACATCGGCCGTCTTATTGTGGCGGGCCAGCGTGACTCCGCGGAGTACGCGCGGCAGTCGAAGCTTTGGCAGCGTGTGTATAGCGAGTTTCAAAAGGAGAAGCAGCATGAAGTAGAGCAGCGCCAGGCTGAGCAGCGGCAACGTCAGGAGCAGGAGCTTCAGGTGGCACGTGAGATTCTGGACGACTTTCGACGTTCACAGCTTGATCAGGTGACGATTCTCGACGAAGAGACACGCACGCGACTCGAGGCGTATCGTGCTGAGTTTGGCTCTGCCGTCCCGCCTTTCGCCAACGACGCGGCAGGGGATGTGGTGAGGTCAGTCGACCCGTCTGGAAATACTTCGACCGCAATCCTTGGCGGCATGAACCTTGAGGAGGACGATATGGCGTGGGTGGAACCAGCCGGGGTGGAAAAGGAGCTTGAAGGAAAGCTGGGGGGGGCGGATGCTTCGGCGTGATGTGTTGGCGTTGGTGATGGGTGCATGCGAACGGCACTCTCAAGCAGTGAGGACACAAACACAGGAAGCAACAACAAAAATAACACGAATAAGGAAGGAGCAAAGGAAGGAAGGGGTGGGGTGGGAGGGAGAAGGAGGCGGAAGCGGACGCCACAGGACCAGTGATGGATCGCTAATGCACTTTCTTACACTCTGATGGGAAAGTGACTGCTAGGAAAAAGGATGGGGGTATACAGTCCGGCAGCTCAGTGGAAGGCGAAGAAGGAACTGGCTGATGTGACATCCCTTTGTGCAGGAGAAAAACAGCTTCCTCCCTTCTTTGCTTGTGATGGTGGGAAAGTGAGGAAGGCGAATTGATGTCTGTGCCGTTAAGCCGTGTGACTCTTTGCGCGAGTAAGCAAAAAAGAAAAAAAAAAGAAAAAAAAAA